CCCAACTAACTCGATAACCGAACTAAGCAGGAGGCAGAATTTTTCTGAGATATTTGCTTTTAATATATGGACCACTAAGCGCAAGAGAGCTTCTTCGAAGCATAGGCCTTGCATACAGTTGCACCAAATGTTAAAGGTAGAGTACCGCAGCAGCTGCCCTACAGATCAGAATTATGCAAAAACGCATGATCGAACCGGCAAGCCTGATGCGTCGCTCCTGCGTTATTATTTTATACGAAAAAAAGCTGAAGCACACTGTAACTACATAAAAACGATGATTAAAATCAACATATACATGATCTGGAAATATGATAATACACCACTAGAACCGGGAATGCAGATGCAGTGAAACAGAATGTAATAAAAGCACAACAATTATTCTTGGCAAAAAGAAACGTATTTATCTCCATTATGGTCATGTAGTACGAGACTTGAGAGGGGGAAGGTGTAGATTAAGCTACACTAATGGAAAGAACAAGCGTACCAGTGAGGGGAGGGGCAGCTGCTCAAGGTTTTTAGAAAATGGGGAAAACGATTTACTCTTGACATCATGACCACCTACTCCCCAAATAAACACCACACGTGTTAAGTTTATTAATCGAATTAACCGGGTTAATGAACAAAAACAAGTGCTCCCAACAAGCGCTTCTGCCGCGCAGCAAGCAAGGTCTCGAACCGTCCTCTTAAGGCAATACATGCGCGGTGGTAGTAAAAAGAATGAAATAAACAGCGTGGCAGCAGCAGTTCAAGGAGATTTTACGATAAACCACAACTTCTTGATAAAAAGCACAAGAATTTTTTGAAAAAAGCAACAGAAAATCGCACCAGACAAAATGATGCTATTACACAAAAAAGTATGATAAGTAAACGAGGACGAGCAAGCAAAATTTTTCAGTGGTTCCAAAAAAATTTTGGGCTGAGAAATTCACCAGAAATTCAACCAACAGACTTAGATCACTCGTACCAAACATTCAATATCGGAAGAGTTTGATTATTGGCATAAGCAGTTTGGAACAATCTTTACTAACAGATCAGTTTCCTTTAACAATAACAATGAGCGCATCGCGGTACGGTCCCGAGCATTCCGACTTAATCCAGTCAATCAGTGGCTTCTTGTATATTTTCTCGAATTCTTCCCGAATCAGCGCCAGATCAATTTCTGATCGCGAAACAATGATGCGTATGAGATCGTTATCCGCTGTACCAAGTCCCTTAAAATTTCAGCAGTAAAAGCCAAATTATTACCGTTTTATGGAAATTCAAATCTATCGAATTGTATTTGTGTGAAAATTATAAAGCAATTTTTGCGAAAAATCCATTAAGCAGTCAGTGCTCCAGGGAAATTTAGAATCGGGCCAGTAAAATTAGCCTATCAGCTGTCATTACAGGAACAAAAAAAGATTACGTCTAATGAAATTAATAAAAGTGTCAATAAAATCAGTTTCCATACTTTCGTCCATCTTCTTCCTTGATCCCCTCACGTATCCTCCTAAAGCATCATTTATCATTATTTTTTTGCTGCTTCTGCGATACCTCCTCAAACAATAGCCGACGAATGAAAAGAGTTGCGAGTAAAAACTCATCGGTGCACAGCTATTTGGTTTTGAGACATAAAAGATGCTGTAATCAAAAATCCATCATTTAACATTTGCAACAACTGACAGAATGCGCCCTGAGACACCTTCTAGGTGGTAGAAGGACGCAAGCAGTGTAATGCAATAGACGAAGCAACGGCTTTTTATGAATCACTGAAGCCTCAAATAATAAAAGCAAACATTGTGGATGAGTTTGATATTATGGATTTTTTATTTATGAGTCGCGCATTCGATACCTTCCCTCCTCCTCCTTCTTTCTATTTTTCCCAAC